TGTATATATGTATATATCAATAGTGTCTCGATGTTCTACGTTGATGCTCTGTCGAAGTTTCATTTTACGTCGAAGCGCATATTAAATCGGCTTGTTGTGCTTTCAGCTGACAATAGTGGCGTTATCCACTTCGACAAATTCGTACAAGGTTTGTTTTGCCATTGACTTGGCGTAGACGTGGTGTTCGTCAAGTTTTTGTGGTCCTCATCGATTGTAAGACAAATGTTTTGCAAAAGATCCGTTGTTCTTTTTTAGTAATGCCAATATTTGTCCCTTTTTGACCACGGACTTGACCAGTTTCTATATTTGCTCAATCGCTCGTGAAGCATGTGCATTTTCCAGATGTCTACAAGTGCTGGAAATCTTGGTGTGCTTATGCCAAAAATAGCTACGCTTTTAAAAAGAATGAGCCCAATATCGCAACCGTCTACGAAGCTCAGGAATTTGTTTAGGTACCGATTGTTTGATCTCTCATAGCTGTATGGTTTCCATAAAAATCTCGCTCTCAGTAAGTGTCGAACAGAGGGCTTGCAAAACAAGCTGAATTCCTCTGCTTTTTCTGTGTTTCTCTTTGGTTTTCTCTTGTTACACTGAGATTTATGAAGCACTTCTCTCAAAGCTGAATAAAATTCCGATATTCAATACTTGTTGAACCTTTTTTTATCATTAAGCTATAATTTTCCAAGCACACTTTGGCTTTGTTGGGATCATCGGTAAGTACTGTTGGTTGTTTCAGGGATTTCTGGTTCTATTGCACAGTTCTTGGCTTCGACGTGGAGTATTCAGGTGACTTCCTCTTTTTATTTCCCTTCCATACCTTACTGACTCATTCTTATATGTGAAAATTTGATAGACACTTGTAGTGTTTACGTATGGTCTGATTTGGATGGCACAGACAGTCGTCAATGAAATAGTTCACTGCTAGCATTTTTCGAATGAGAAGTACAAGGCCAAGCATCCCTGTGTAGTCGGCTGCTCTTAAACGCGCCCCAGTGGACGTAGCCTGCACCTGCTACCTGCTATTGGTCTTCCCATCCTGTCGCCTGCATCTCTACCAAATTTGAACGCCTCAGGTCCAGGAGAACACGGGTAACAGATTTTCGGCGAAATACAGTTTTCGCGTATGCCCCGCCCCTGAGGGGACGCTCCTCCCCTGGTGGGCGGAGTTAGCTTCAGTCACGTGTACCCAAGAAATTCGGCTCATACCCCAATCGTCTCAACCTGGCTGATTCCAGTCGATTTCTAAACGGCGCCACATTAGGTAGTTACAGTCGAACAAAAAAACGAATATTTGTGGTTTATATATAGTAAGGATCTCGGCAGCCCTTCACTTCATAACGCCACCACACTTGGAAACAGAAGTCGAATCGGTGGCGTATCCTGATGTTTCATAGTTGTCCAGTTTGCTGTCAGAAAAAGTGTGGCTGATTAGCAGCATTTTAATCGACACCAAATGTTTATGCATCTAGGTAGTTCTGCACTTCCCAACGCCACCACATTTGGAAACAGAAGTCGAATCGGTGGCGTATCCTAATGTTTCATAGTTGCTGCTCAGGTTACTGTCAGAAAAACCGTTGCGGGCGCAGGCGGAGTCTAGTTGTGCCACCTACTACAGAGATTCTAAAATCTACCACTTCCATTTTAAACACCCCAGGTCCGAATTAGCTATTTATCCCTACCTATGAGTCTACATCTGCCACCTGCCATTAGTTTTCCCATCTTGCCGCCTGCATCTTTTCCTCGTCTTGCCCCCTGCATCTGCCAAATTTGAACGCCCCGGTCCAAATTAACTACTTATGCGGAAGCTCCGCCCCCAGTTGGCAGGGCCTATGCCGCCTGCCATAATTTTTCCCATCTTGCCGCCTGCATCTCTGCTAAATTTGAATACTCTAGGCCCAGCAGAACAGGGGTTTCAAACTTCCGGTGAACTACACCTCTCGCGCACGCCCCATAGCTCCTTTCCTACTGGATCTAATCAAGCAAAATTTCAATATTGTAGCAGTGGTGTAGTGTGAATATTTACCACTATTAGTCCTCAATCTGATCATGTTTCAAATATCCCAAAGAGCTTGAAATCAAAACCAATTGGAAATACAGACATTGGTGCTTCTTAGATTCCTTTCCTTTTTGCCATGTCCAAAGTGTACGAGCGCTAATGCGGAACATAGAAGAAGAGAAAACGCAAATAAGGTATGAACAACTGCAGACGTCACAAACTTGCTTTCAGTATACAGGGTGGGCCAAAATTATGATTACAGCGCGCGCTGACGTTCATTGCAAGTTTTTTCTATGCTCATAACAATTCATTGAATTTCTTCCATTTCACAAAGTAGCTTACGCTATTACCTTTCTAATGATACTAAACTTTGGGTAGATTTTTAACATAATATAAGCGTAACTAGTCCGTGAATTAAACGTCGCTTTGCATTTACAAACACTTTTGGCACGGTGTATCTACAGACGAACTAGCGAAACAAGGCAGTTATTGCATTCAACCATAAGACGCTCTCGAGAGTTGGGAACAATTGCGGATAGGAGTGGTGAACCTAGGAGAGCTGTGGTTATATTTAGTGGAAGTGTTAAGGAAGCAGGGCAAAGGTCTACGTAGGAGCAAAATTCATTCTGAGTCCAAAAAGGCTAAATGAATGGATATGTCACGAAATTTTCTGCGCGAAATCATGAAGCATCATCTGCACGACAAGGCCTTCAAACAATCATAAAGTGAATTCCCCAAAGAGCAGGCTAAAGAGAAGAGAATGGTTGGCTCACTAAAGCTGCCCCGTCGCATACAAAAAATTGTCGTACGGAATTGCTGTTCACCGGCGAAAAGATATTCGCAGTGAAAAAGGTGCTCAATAAGCAGGGCGACAAGATTTGTATGAAGCTTAAAGAAATGGAAGTGATACAGTGTTAGGCTCACTGACTTTCTGCGATGGCCTTTGTGAGCGTCACCGCTGAGGCTAAACCACCGATTATTCTTGCAAATTATGGAGTGAAAGTTGGTTTGGAGGCCTGTTTGATCTCTTCGTGCGCAATAGGACACTTTGGTGATTCGAACCGGTCATATTGTCAAGATGAAGCTCCTGATCGCGAAACAGCAGTTGTCGAGAAATTTCGTGGAAGGGGTTCTTTGACTTGATAACCTTCGATCAGTGACCACTCTGGAGCCCTGACCTAAATCCCATGAATGTCTCAATGTGGTCAGCCTCTGAGATGAAAGCATCCTTTAGCCCAAAGAAGAGAAGAAATAATCTCGAAAATGCTTAGCAAAAAGCCGGGACCATTTCGATGACCTTAGCTGCGTGCCACCGTCAATGCCGTCCATCGTAGTCTTTGGGGTTGGGTGTAAGCNTTTGCTCTATTGGCTTTCTCTTCGTTTTCTGCGATGTGATTACTGTGTAATCATAATTTTGGCCCACCCTGTAGTCTACTATCGCTTCCCCTTAGTTATGTGGACTTTGCTGCTTTGCAGTCAAATAGTGTGGGATAGTGTGAAATATGCTTCAGTTACACATATCGAAATTTCATGCGAATGCGATTTGTTCCACTAGGAAAAAAGTTACGGCAAGTTAAAGTTGGTCGAGTACTTTTGAGCGCTACTCTTTAGGAACTGAAGTCGCTACAAATGATACAGCTCAAGTTTTGATGTCTAATGGTTATTATTACCTAGTTTTGAGTAATTCTAGGATTGTGGCCAGAAGACTGGTACAATGCGGTGTGCGTAATTGCCACCAAGTCGCCGGTACTCATCGCCCAAGAAAATCTTCGTTCAGAACTGATCGATAATGCTGCAATCAAAGGCGATACGATTTCACCAGTCTGTCTTTGGAAAGTTCTTTCTTGATTATCAGCCAACTGACATTCCACTTGTACAGAACGAATTACAAGAGTTCCGAAACACCGTGTGTGGAGTGCTGAATCACCAGGCTGATGTTGTTCCAATAGTAAATCGAATGGATTTCGCTCAATGCACCTATCTCTTGTCGGTTTTACGTATGGAAAAAATGAGAGTGGTAAGTTTTTTTCTTATATATAGCATCATTCGATTCATAGTCATTTATCCTATTTATTGCTAAGTATACCTGATCATTAATCAGGTTATGCTCTTACCAGTTTGTTCACCCGACTAACGCTGGACTCCTCTCTTCCTTATAACTAAGTTGTTATGATCTGCTGACTTCATTTAATGCTGAATCTACTCTCATTGTTTAACTTCGTTTCATCAATTTTTTGTCATTTTACCTTTTCTTATTCCGGCTACTGTAATTCAGTGATGTTCAGGTTCATGCTGAACACAAGGAGGCGTTGCACGAGTTCTTCAAGTATCTTGAGGACAAGTAAGGTTTCATCTGGCTTCGTAATCACACCAAACCTTTTAACTTCTCTTCAGAACAATTCGGAAGGACAAAGGTGGAATGTGGATGTGCTTGTTAGCTGGAGCATCGATTGTCTTCGAAGCGTATCTCGATAATTACAAAAAGGTTAGTTTCCTAGAAACAACCCGAAAAAGTCTTAGAAGGATAGTTCATAGTTTGTCGAAGGAAGCACCTGTGTGGGCGATCAGATATGTGGTACCTATATGGAGTCATATGAGCTATACAACAACTTCACGACCAAAATTTTGTCATTCTATAAAAAAAAGTCATCATAAACGTGAAGAAGGGGGTTCGACAAGACGATACCATCTCGCCCAAACTTTCTAATGCCGCTCTCGAGACTATCATGCGTCATATGGAGTGGGAAAGCATGGGAGTGAAAGTTGCCGGCCGCTACTTACATCATCTCCGCTTTGGAGAGGATATCGCGCTTGTAACACCGAACATTGAGCAGGCGGAACGAATTCTTTTCGAATCCATTAACACTTGTAGAGTGATGGGATCATGACTGAACCCAACGAAGACAGTGTTCATGTGAGACGGATTTGTACCTGATGCCTCTGTACCTCACGCTGAACGGGACGAATATCTTTGAATGCTTTAGTTAAGTGTATCTAGTTCGGGAAGTCAACATGATGAACGACCTAGCTCCGCAGCTGAGCAGAACGAAACGAGCCGCTGGGGAGCATCCAGAAATATCGAGCGAGTAGTGAAGACGACAAAGGATTTACGGCTCCGCGCTCACCTTTTCGACACTGCTGTCCTTCCTGCTTTGACGTACGCCTCGGAGACTTGGACTCTACGAAAGCAGGATGAGAAAGTAGTGTCATTCAAAGCGTTGTGGAAAGGGCGATGCTTGGAATTTCCCTATTCACGCAAGTGCAGAGAAGAATTTCGAGTTCCGAGCTCCGTCAACGAACGAAGATCATGGATGCCGTTGATTAAGCCAAGAAATCGAAGATTAGGTAGGTCGGACACGTCATGTGACATAGTGACGGTTATGGGGATCCGTTCGGATCAGGGCGGTTACGAACTGGATTTCTCGGGACGTAAAAGGAACACCGGGACGACCGTCGACGCGATGGTCAGACTTCTACACGAAAGCTCTGTAGGGAACGGGTGTTTTGCCACGTGCCCCTCAAGCGAGTACTACTCACTGGACCACTCCGACTTGCGACAAGGACGAATGGAGACGTTACCAGCGCTCGCTCGAGGAAATCGATGATAACGGGACGACAGGTAATGCAGGCAATATGTAGTCGTATGCGTAACAATCGTAACAATCGTAATTCCTATGAGGTTACATTGCTTATTTCTGGGCCTTCTAACTCTCTTTTCCTGCAGAATCGAGCGAATGAGTCCTCCGAGTCAGCGCTGGAGTATCATGTTCAATTTTTGCTTGTTCAATTCAATCACAACCTCAAAGAGGTTTGTTTGTTTCATTGTGTGCGTCCTTTTGACTTCTTTCCCTTGTCGGAAGCCTGGCTGATTGCGATAAATTCTGTCGTGGCCCTACAAGGAAAGATCAGACTGGATGAATTGACCATGACTCGTTTTCAGGTTCGCCGTTGTGCTGATGCTTGCCTTTCTAGATTAGTGGACACATTTCCGTATCTGCTCTGGAGTGGGAGAGTCTTGACGACAGCGCTACGTCTTCTACAGGTTTGCTTAGCAATCCCAACTTTGTCCCTTGTTTCCCTTAATTTATTTTTCTAATCTCTTTGATACGCATCACTGGTTTGCATCTCTTTCTTATTTACAACTACTTTTCATTTTATCAATGCTTCGTAGTCAGAATACCTTTCTTTATATTTCAATGATTCCAATTTCCACGATGCTCGCAGTATGTTATTAATTAAATTTGTTTTTTTTNTTTTTTTTGGTCCTTACTAATAGTTCACTGAATACATATTTGGCTGTAATGACGGAATCATAAGCTTGCATACATTCGTTGGCTTTAACTCAAGAACCACATTCGGAAAACCTGAATATTTTGCCTAAAGTTTTCAACCAATCTTTCTTTTGGTTATTCTCCTCTGCTCGTTTACATTTTATTGAACATGTTCCAATTTGTAGGCCTTACAACTGAATCTTGTCCAAGACCCAACCTGTAGTGAAACAACGTTTACAATGAATGGTCTACCTTGGAGCATTCAGTTGCAGGTCGGCACTTCGGAAGGAATTGCAACCAAACATGGTTTTTCTAATAATAAATCCGCTCCAGGATTCGATCGAGGGACGCACGATGGTGGTGAAAGACTTTTCCCAACGTTGTGAACAAATATTACAAGAAGCGATGAAATGGGCACCAGCGATCACTCATAGCCACTTGCTGGTTTGTCATTCTATTAATGACCTTATATAGGGTCTTTTTCACCTTATTTTTTCTACAAAAAACCCAGCTAAGTATATGTTTTGGGAATTTGATGGTGATACGCGATCTTTCATTTTTCAAATTCGCAAAAGTGCTTCAGGTGTCTTTAATTACCTTACTGATCAAGGGCTTGCTTCCATTTACTCGTATTCTAGGGTTCCTTCAAGTTTCGAGGGCTTGCATCGTCAGCTTGAGCCGATGATCGTTCGCTCGGGTTGTGGAAAATTCGCTTCCTGCCCTTTCAGTCAGTCCAATTAGAGTTTTGTAATGCCTTATCCAAACATTCTGAAAACCCACAGATGCAGTCTGCAAAACGTATTGCTGCAATTCTTTTTCGAGCACTTTTTATATGGCCGCCATCACGCTCAACCGTCGCCAGTTTCTAGACCCTCTCCTTTGGCAACTGTTTGAATCCTTTGTGATAAATGACCTTATCCTTCCGTCGACAACAGAATCTTGGGTGTACAAGGGACACGGATATGTGAAATTATGTCATTGACCTGCAGTTGAGATGTTCTTGGATGCCCAGAGAGCGTTCCTGACGAAAAAAATATGGAGTGCTACGGGTACACTTCAAGAGGCATGCCTATTCTCTGAGGCTCTTTTTCCAAAATTACGAAAAAACAGGGAATGAACGAAATTGGCTATTGGCGGAGTCATCAAATATGTTTCCTAGGAATATGTTTCCACATTTGGAGCGCCATCAGACACGTCGCTACGGCTAGCGATGGATGCTGTCACGAATGCCGGCTCCGAGAACACCAGCATGTATTTATCGTCTCTCCATATGAGAAGCATGTACCTAGGAGAGGTGCAGTCTTTTTTTTTGTCTTCTTTTGCTTACTTAAAGGTGGTAGCAGATCGAGTTTGAGAAGAGTGACACTTTACTCAGGTGAAAGGAGTGCTAGCGTCTCGTGCAGCCGATGAGGATGAAACTCCCGAATGCAGTTTGGTGAAACGGCTGGAGAGGGACTTGACGGTAGCAATAGCATCTGGATCAAAAGAAGAACTTCAGAATGCCATTATGCTTCTCACTGCACTTTTTGTGACGTTGAAAGGTGGGTTACTCCACTACAATTTGTACTTTCAAATGGGAGTTTTGTTCTGGGATTCTTCTGGGTAATGAATCTTTTTTATCATTTGAGCATTTGCATATTGTTAGGCTTGGATAGGGTGTGACATATGGTCAGGATAATGCCCAAAGTAGGCTTGCAATTCGCTGCATAAGATACATTTACGTTGCATTTAATGAAAACCATCTCTTCTCGGGCAGATTGCGGCAAGCTTACTGGACCGTTTGCTGGCATAGGGCCCGTTTCAAGGGCGCAAGTGAATTAGGTAAGGGGAGGGTTTTTGCAAGCCTGGGGTCAGTTTTCATTCTTAAACTCTATAATCTTTTATAATTTTAATTTACACTTCAATGGTCAGAATTCCGTGGTGCATATGCTGCGGCAGACGCGGTCACTCGATCAGGTACAGTTGATGGGTTCATATCAGGCGTTATAGTCCGCTTTTTTTTTTGCATGCCTGCAAAGCAGAATGTTACGCGGAGGAACTGCTTTGCTTGAGAACGCTGATCCCTGCTCGTCCTGCTGTGTTTCCCCACTGCAGTCCTCGAGAAGTGACAGAAGTTTTTAATATTTCAGACGTGAATGATCACATTCTTTCGATTTTGGTTCGTTGTCCACTTCGTAGTTTCGATGAATCCACTCTACAACTCTGTGTTTTAAGTTGGAATTGGATTCTGGCTGCAAGGAACGATATTCAAAATATTGTAAGCTACCTTAAGTTCAAAGACTGTAACAAGTTAAGAATTACTGCAGTCGACTGATTTTTGCCCAAGAATGTGAACTTTTCATGGAATTTTCATAGAGGCTTTCAGTTTTTGCGTGAAATGTGCTCTGCGTGGACGGAATCCTGCCGACAGGGCTTGGGAATTTATGAGCGAATGGCGCCATCACAGTCACCCTTGTGCGAACAACTCAAATCACCCCCAAAGCCTCCGCATTATAAGCCCCATGCGCTTTGGTTGAATGTAAGTTTTATGAGATAAGTTTCATTTGACGTCTATGAAGTTCATGGTAATGTGATGGTTTTAATCTTAGAAATGCGGTTTCTACAATTATATTTACAAACAATCGAAGATAGCATTTTCGTATAGATAATTAGCTTAGTTGCTTGAAATTCCATCTAAAGTTTTCGTTTGATTATTAGGAAGTTCCAGGTAAACATGAGACAGATTCTGTTGGGTTTTGCTAAAAACTCTATCGCTCTCCTATTCCACTGGCAAAGTGTTTCTTCGGAGCGCAAACCTGTTCCACTGGCAAAGTGTTTCTTTGGAGTGCAAACCTTGAGGAGCCTCTAGGTCAGCTGGAACGATAGGGCGATAGAGTGCTCTAGAAAAAGAAGAGGAGGCCCGACTCTTTGATTCTTTGGATAAGGACAGCTTGGATAGGCTAACTTGAAGGCAGGGACACCCGGAGAAAACAATAGGACGGTAGGGTTCCCTCTATAGGGGGTCGGAAGGTTACCTAAGAAGGTGTAGCCTTTGCGATAGCGTTATGGAAAGATAACCAAGTTAGAAGACTAGAGAATGAAATCCGTCCTTCGCCGATTACTCACCGACTTTCCAGTGTTACCGGGACAGATCCTTTCATTTCTGTTGTGAGCTCAATCAAAATTTCTGTTTTCGTGGAGAGTTCTCAATCTCCGCCCCAAGGGGAGTCCGACAAAGTTCACTTCCTTTGTTTTGTTGATTACCTTTCTATTTTTGTGGCGTGATTTCTGATTTTCGAACTTACTGTTGTATTTACAGTTAAGTATCTTCCAGTTTATCGCCGAACGAGTGGACGTAGCCAAGTATAGCAGTAGGGAACAGTTAGACATTCTTGAAACGATGTTCGCTCAATCGCTGAGTCTTGTGGTCGGAAGTGGACCGGTGACAGTGGCCCCATCACCAGCTCTTTCTCTTCCCTTATTCGAACAGCATGGTAGGTAGCTTTGATTTATTTCCCATTGGAGTCATTAAAGAACGATGACCTCATTGCTATATTTGAAGGAATAATGGAAGGTCATCATGAAAATCCTTACTAAAGAGTACCGGTCTTATTTTTCATGTTATAGTGTTCCTCACACGAAGTATCGAAGCAGTTGGAGTGCGTTTTCGACTTCTATCCTGTGCTCTCAGTATGCTCCAGGGTGAAGCAACTGCTGCCAGGCCTTCGAACAACGTCATTCGTCAACGAGTTTATGCTTCAGCACTCGATTATTTTACGTGAGTGTTTCAGATTATCTCTCCTACTGTTTCTAACAGGTCCTGCTGTTACCCGCAGAGACTGTTCATTGTTCGATGCTCTCGTGCCAGTAATCTGGTAGCTTTCTCATCAGGTTGTCTCCGCAAGGGCCAACGCAAATGCAGGCACAACTAAGAGCAGATGTTAAATTGCTGATCTCGTTCTGGCAGGTGCTTTATGCGGATGGGAAATACATCAAGAAGGAAATATTCCTAACAAAAGGTAGAACTACGGTTAATATTCCTAACAAAAGGTAGAACTACGGTTTTTCCTCTGTTATGGCACTCCAACTTCTGGTCGGCTACATTCACTTCCTGTACTTGCTAAGTACCATTAAGGTCTCCTTCAATGTGGTGTAAAATTGGCAAAAATTGGTGGATTGCTTTGTTTCTTTTGAGTTTCTGAGGAATGCATTTTTGTTTCATACAACGTTAAGTTGCAGCGCATTCTTGGAACATTTATTCAGATAATGAGCTTGGAATAACGCCAACTTTGAACCAGATAGAGCCGTACGTGGAGCAATTGGGAAATCGGTATGTTGAACAGATTCGTGTATTCTTTCGATTTAACACATGAAAAGCTTGAGAAACACAATCTCCAGGAAAGTTAGGAGAAATTCGCCATCAGTATTTTTCCGTATTATTGTTAATGGTGAAAGCGATGATTTCCACGTACAATGAAGATGATTAAGATTTGCAGGTCTTCTAGTCAGACATGGCATGCTGCATCGTCGTCTAGCACGCACTATGTGAATACTCTGACGTTGTCGAAAAATGCCATAACATCCACTCGTGGGAGTAAGTTTCTGCTTGGTTTGGATTTTTTGGTTTTTGCTTACTTTACTGATTTTCTTCACATTCTTTCTTTGCCGTATTGTCTGTTTTGCTTTGCCAATGTTGTACATATTTGTTAAATCTTCCATCATACTGCTGCTGAGGAGTGTTACACACTTGGCAAAAATTTGGAGAATTCTGGCTTTCATACCCCACATGTCAGGTTATCGTCAAGTTGCAGCGTTTGCAGTATCAGAACACATGCATATCAGATTGAATTTTACCGACTCATGACAAGAAATGACACTTTGGTCTTTTTGTGTTAGCATGTCTTTATGATATGACTCTTCTATAGTTTTGGCTTCTCACCATTCTGAGTGTCCAGGGTCAGCGTCTTGACGTTTCAATTGAACTGTCTTTCCAAAATAATTTTCCAGGTGTCTCACGTAAATTCATATCGAATGGAAAAAATTCGATGGATGTGGAGAAGCAGGTTAAAATGTTCCTAAGGTGGAGAAACCTCATACTACTACTCGTGGTGAGTTCTTTTTACCTAAGTCCTTGATCCACTCTAGGCTTACTCTATGATTGGGACTTTCCTCGGCTTTCGTGACTTTTTACCGGAATTTTATGTTTTGAAGATCTGTAGAACTTTCTCAAGCTTAAGAAAGACAGTGGAATCAAGTTTTGCGAGTGCTGGCCGATCACAGATCGGGGTTGAAGCGACATGGACTTTTTTTATCATTGGATTCTGAATTACTTTGACTCCCATTTGCTAGCTTCTCACTGGGTGGTATGGATCTGAAAGCCGTAAATATCGTGCTTCCCATATTGAGCGTTTTCTTCGGAAATCGGCAGGAATACCCGACGCTTAACGTTGCGTATCATGCGTAAGCCTTTCAAGCACATATCTTTGAATTTTTTCTTGTCTTCCTTTACCACTCAAAAACTCATTTTATATCTCTGGTTTGCTTTGTACTGCCACACGTCCTAATTTTAGGGAAATGAAATAGAGCGTCTGTGCGCTTGGCTTAATCCTCTGGGAGAATCAACAGAGGAAGGTGTAGGTCCGGTGGAGCAGTGGATGAAAAGCACGTTGCCTGGTGAATGTCTTGATCGATTTATTGTCATGGTTTTGTTTTTTTCATTTGATTGTTGCTTTTTTGTCTTTGAGCAGTACTTTCCTTTTGCCCTCCTTTCTTTCTAAGAGTTGGTGCAGTATGCCTCCCATTTCCACTACTAACGTTTTGCACCCATGTCGCTATGTTTGTTTGTTTTTTTTTTGAAAGAAAGAATTGCATGTCGTAGCTCATGAATGTGGTAAGTAGTTCAAGAATGAGGTCTGAGGATGAATAAAGAGGCGCGGAGTGTGCACGAATGTAAAAACAGAGATGATATGTGGAAATTCACCTATATTAACGATAGCATTCCTTGTAGGGTTTAATTGCTATATAAGCAATTTTTCATGTTCAGAAATCCGAGTTGAAACTCGAGTACTGAAAGAAAACTCGAAACTGGCTTGGGAAATCTCACCTGAACTAGCTGTATACCTCCCAACAAGGTATATGGATTTTTTCAAGTATGTACTCATCCATTATCTCTGCCTCCAAAATTCTCCGCCTTTAGATTTCGCACATGCCCAACTCTTCGTGACACCCTGCAGGAGATGGTTCGGCTGCAACCAGAAGCGGTTTCACACCTTCCAGACGCTCTGCCTCTGTTTCTTGGGGACACAACTGTGTTCGAACATACTGACGTAAGGATGAGTAGTCTGTTTTTCATTCGATTTTTGAAATAGATGAAAGTAACAGAAGTGCTGCTATTTAGATTGCTCATGTGCTCACATGGGCTACATGCTCTCCGGTAATGGCGCTTTCTCTGCTTACTCCCCGACAGTATCCTCTCCATCCAGTCACAGTACAGTATGCAGTTCGAGTGTTACGTTCCTATCCTGCTGACGCGCTCCTGATGTACATTCCACAGCTTGTCCAAGCAGTCAGACACGATACTGTGAGTTTTGCTGGAATCTGACTCATTTCATGAAGTATTGGCCTTGTTCAGATGGGTTATGTAGCTGAGCTGATCGTATGGTTAGCTGGTCACTCACAGCTTTTGGCCCATCAATTGATTTGGAATATGGAAACGAATATGTATACAGATGAAGATAGCAAGAATAAAGATCCTGTGCTTTTCGATGCTCTCAATGATATCATCAAAAAGGTCTGTAATTCATTTAAGTGCCACAAATTTTTTCCCAATGCCATGATATACAGATGGTGCCAACTGAGTTTTATCGTTCTTGTCGCGCTGGTTGTGTGAAGTTTGCTATTCAGACCACCAGTCAGCTCGAAGGTGCCGCTCGCCGTTTCCACGAAGCCGAGTTTACGTTGTTTCATCGGCTCACTGCAATCTCCGGCACAATCAAGCCTTTTCCGAAAGGCGATGCAAGAAAGAAGGCTTGTCTCAAAGCGCTGGCTGAGGTAAGATTCTCTATCTATGTATTGATGCTTTTTCATCTGCTGTACTTCCATTTTGCATTTCTGGCTGGCCGATGCCCCAAATTGTGGTGATTCTCTCCTTCTCTTCTGTGCCAGAAGCCTCGTTCTCTGCCTTAGTTCGAGAAAATTCTTTTATTCAGTGATGAGATTCAGAATATACCCAGTGAAGTAATGCCCCTTTTTCTCTTCAGGAAGCCACAGCGGTATTAATGCTAGGAGCTGGAGTCACGGGTCTGTTAACAGCTCATCAAATGTAGATCAAGGCTTGGATCTCCCGATATCGCTCTTGCTAGTAGCCGCGAGGCAGAATGAGGCCTGAATAGTTAGCAGAAAGCAGAAGGAGAAAAATAGAAAACTGAGGAAAAGGTAGCTGATGGTGCCTCTAGTGGCACGGCTTATCGGGCAATTGATCATTGCGACGTGTCGAAGCTTCGCTGTGGAATTGTAGGAGAGCCGAAAAGGAAAGAACGATTCTTGGTATTGAATAAAAGCCGGGATGGCTATCAAGCGATATGAGCCGTGATCGGCGATGGATAGCAGCCCCTTCAAAGACGTTACGTGAAGCTTATATACAACCAGATTACGTGACCATTGATGCTATGAAATCTTTCTCTGTAAACAGTAGTTTCTCAGATAATGTTCTGAGAACTAACATAAGCTTTATCAAGTGTTTAAGGGAATAGAAGCGAATGTAAAGCAGCCATCTACCTGAATGGAAATATGGTGAAAGTCGCATTTTAGGAACAGATTGGCTTTTTGTCCGTTACGATTATTGTTCGTTATGATTTCGTTATGATTTCTTTACGTTTATGTATTGATTTTAATTCAATTTATTCCTACTTCGCGCGTCTCACACTTATTCCTGAGTATTTCTAAAGTCTCTGTTTCATATTCATACTTTTTGAGAATATTTGTAATGTGCAAAATATCTTGGTAATCAGTTTCGATGAAGGGACATGGTATATAGGCTTCAAGTTATTATATTTAATTCGAACTAATCAGACAAGGAGGCGTCAAGGAGATTCGGTTCCGTCGTGGTGATTCTATTACCTCCCTCCACATCTATATGGTGTATATGATTTCAAAAAAAAAGACGACTAAGGATGAAGTAGCAGCTCAGTTATGTCGAAAGTGTCAAAATTCATCGAATACAACCCCATCGCCCTTCTCAATGGCACATCGTCATACTCCGTCAGATTGCTTGCCAGAACTTACTCGAATAGGCTTGAATCTGACTCGAAGAAGGCTTACATTTCACGTATACCTTAATAGCCTTCAATTTGATTGATTGATTGATTGATTGTGGTTGTTGGTTGATTAGGTTGTTTCTGAAGTATCTATACCTGTCCACCATGAAAACCTCACGCATCGATGCATTTGCAATCCTGATTGCATGACACGATGGCGACCGGTCTGCATTGAACAATCTGTGCTCTAAACCTAAGTAATCTTTCAGGTAAAACTGGAGACCATCACCTACCTCCCATCGAATCCGGAAGCATTTCTTTTGGAAATTGATTATTCGAGCGGAACACCAATGCAAAGGTCACTTCATTTCTATATATTATTCCTTAGTGAGGCGTGACGTTTGAATTTTTGAAAATTACGATTCGGGTTACGGATTAAAGCTTTTGGATTGCCCAGATTCCTCTTTTTATTTTTCTACGATTGGTGACCGCTTTCGACAGCTCGGTGTCAGTTATTTTTATTATAGTGCTGCCAAAGCTCCATTCTTGGCTCGCTTCAAAGTTCAACGATGTGGGGTGCACGAACTGGAGCGACTCGGGTTGGAGGTACATGGACTTTCTCGAATGGAATGCTTTTTGTTATATTTATTTATTAATAGATGTCATATTCAGGCGCAGTCGCAAGAAAAAGGCAAGCCACCGCCGCCCAGGGCTGATTTGAATGAGCTGCGAAGAATCAACGATAGTGGCACATGTTGGCAGGCGGCTATATTCAAGGTATTACTAGATATCAATACCTTCTAGAGATTCTTTATGATGAAAATGTAACTCAGTAAAAGTTGATTTGAGGTAGGAGATGATGTCCGGCAAGACATGTTGGCTCTCCAGCTGATGCAGCTAATGAAGAATGTTTGGGCTGGTCTTGGGCTTCCCGTTTGCGTCTTTCCATACAGGTCATTCCAATATTACTTGCGTTTAGTTAAATCCCTTCTTCCAATCTGCCTCCTGTTTACTGTTTTCGAGCACGAATTCAGTCATGGAGCAATGTTGTACTGAAGGAGACTTACAAGTTCCTCGAGCAGCGCGGTGTAGGGGATGATCTTGCGTACAATTAGATACGCAAGATCATCCCCTACACTAGAGGCAAGCTATTCCGTAGCCTACACCATCTCTTGCCTAGTCTAGTACTAGAAACTTGCTCTATTCAGTTTTACCTAGTAGATGCTGGTCTTTTCGATCGTACAGGGAGTTTCCAATCACTCTTTACAGCCTCCTCTCCTTCGAAAAAACGGGATCACTTTTGGGAAATGTGTAATAGTTGAGCTGGTGACTTCTTTGCAGGGTAGTGGCAACATCACCGGGATGTGGAGTGATCGAATGTGTACCGAATTCGAAAAGTCGAGATCAACTTGGACGTCAAACTGATTTCGGTTGGTTCCTGTTTTGATTTCATAATATTTCTTTGACGGTTCCTTTTTCATTAACGACAACGTTCGCCAGAAATCTTTATAAGTGATTTTTATGTTCGAATTCTTCTCATTTATTGGCTTGATTATTTCTAAACCATGTTTCAAAATTTTCTAAACGCTTCGCTTTGTTTACCCAGAATGCATCAAATTTTCTAGTGTAGCTACTCGCATATACATTTTTACAACTTGTTTATCTTGAGTACCATGTATGATATTACCTACGATGACGATTTACGATTATATGGAGATACTTAAGGGCTATATGAGTATTTCAAGACGACATACGGCGATGAGAGCAGCGAATCATTCCAGGTTCTTTTCCGAATTTGTATTTCTCACCCATTTCTGCAACAGACTATGGTTTTAGGCCCACTTTCGCGATATTTATCTGATGTTATTTATCACCTTTTTTTGATTCGAGCTTTTGAATGATAGGAAGCGCGTCGGAATTTCGTTCGAAGCATGGCCGGCTACTCAGTGTTCAGCTTTTTATTGCAAATCAAGGATAGACATAACGGCAACATCATGATCGATTTAGATGGCCATATCATACATATAGGTAGGAACTTCCACCATTATCAAGTAGTAAATAGATTTCATAGCTGGTCCTCAGACTTTGGCTTCATGTTCGAGAGCAGTCCGGGAGGAAATCTTGGTTTTGAACCAGATTTCAAGCTAAGCGAAGAAATGGTGGCGATCATGGGTGGTAAGATGGAAGCGACCCCGTTCCGCCAGTTTGCTACGCTCTGTGTGCAGGCCTACCTGGCTGTTAGGCCCTATCAAAAAGTGAGCAATATTTGTTCAACCTTTTCTCGTTTGTATTGCCATTTCTCCTACATTTTGGAATCACAGGCTTTCGTGTCGCTGGTATCTTTGATGCTTGACACCGGGCTTCCGTGTTTCCGAGGTAAAACCATCCAGCAGCTGCGAGCACGTTTTGCTCCTGAAATGAACGAGAGAGATGCAGCAAGGTTCGTAACTGGTGTCGGTTCATTTTCCTTCACGAACTTTCATTTTATTTATTTTATTTCTATTTACGGATTTTTCGTTGCACGGAAGTGTTACCATTCTTGATCATTCTGATTTTTTTGTTATGCACCACCTTTTTGACATCCAGATAGCACTTTAAGCAAGCTTTTGACATCCTTATTGCATGTATGAGTAGTGGGGATGGTGTGGGTACTGCCATGTCGATTTGTAAGAGAGTTCATCAGTGGTTGCTCCTGATCCTCATCATGTCGATTGTCTGTTTTCACCCTTTGACATGATAAAACGTTACCATAAAAGGAGTAGAGGAACTACCCTCCCGCTTTACCCTCGAGGATCACTTTCATAATCCCTACACCGTCTCTCATCCTCGCATACGAGATTGTTCAGGCTCAGTTGGACTATTTCCATCACCAGTTCCCCATGAGTGCTTTAGGTTTTCTACCTACCTTTCTGGTCCCGTATGGAAACTTCCCTTCCTAATTACTTCGTTTATGGCATCCAAACCCATCCATATGGCGAAATGTTCCATGTTTGTGATTGTTTTCGATCAAGCGAGGGGAAAAGAAATCATTTTCCCTTCTTTGATTTCAGCACCCAAAAACCCGTTCGTCTTCATGTCTATCTCTATCCTTCATTAAAGAATCGATGATGTTATACATAGATTGCTCCCCTTAAGTTTGTTAAGGACCCCTGGCACGGTCAAAAAAGAGCGTTTCCTGAGCGAAGCCATGTTTTCTGGATTTTTCAGTCTTATTGATGCAGGTTAGGGATAACCTCATCAGTGCCTTCCCTGTTCAGGCACGGAGTAGCTGAGAATCGATAAACTTATTCGAAATAGGGGTGAAGTTGTTGGTATCTAAAACTGTATTGGTCCTGTCTGAATTCAAAACCATAACAGGTCAAGATTTTTGACCTTCACAGTTTGTTTTCCAGATATATGCATTCTGTCATTACGAACTGCTTTCTTAACATCAGGAGCAAAATGTACGATCAATTACAGTACATACAGAATGAAATTCCTTATTAAACCACGGCACCTCTTGTCACCTCCGTCAGATCTGATGAATGTAGGCCAGTTTCTGTCATTTGTTTGGATCCTCGTGTAGCCAAGTATTGTTTGAGACATTCCACTCGAGCGTCTGTGGTAGAACTCTTCTAATCCGATCACTCGTTCAACTGTTTCTTTTCTTTTCTTTATTGAATCGGCAACTGGGCGTGAAGGTCAGCTTTCATCCCAAGTTTAATCATCTACTGTATAATAATGTTTGTTTGCCAGCAGCTAGTCTTTGCTTATCATCCTTCAGCTACTCACTGGTTGCTATTTTTCATTTGTGATTTTGTATATTGACAACTTTTAGGTTTAAAAGGTTGTTTTAATAACTATTTGTGGTCTAGACTAGTGTCTATAGAATGGACATGGAGCATAGCAACTAATTTTTTTTTGCTAATAATGTGCGAATTAAAAATAGGAAATTAAGTTGTGTGATAGCCGCTTTCGGCGTTCGAAGCAATAAAAATATTTATAGAATATGTATGGCGTTCTGACAATCAGGGCTGTTCCCGTGGCGTGTTTAAGATAACAAATCATTGCTCATATCGTTGTGTGGCTTTCTATAAACCTCGTCATAATTGTTATTACTATTACATATTACTGAGTTTATTGTTTTTTCTCTCTCTTTACTAGGTTTGTAAATACGCTTTATTAGGCTGATGTTCGGCGGAATCGCCTTCTTCAGAGACTGAAAGGATCATAACAATCTTTGACCACCCGATCAAACGTGTCCACCAACCCACTAAAGTTCGAGACCCCCAGGGCACGCAGGTGATCGAAAGGGGAACCACTCACCGTAACTTTGTGGATTCTTCGAAACCACCCAGCAAGTGATGGTACCAACCGACCAGTAGAACTCAAAGTAGAAATACTTTACCTGAAGATATGAGTCACACACAAGAGTCGCTATTGTCATCAGAGGGAGTTTGGTTTTTC